ATAAGCTATTTGCCTAATAAAGAATTAATATTGTGAACGGTATGGGTTTTAAAAGATTGAAGTCTCCGACTTCTGCAGATTTTTTTATGTTTTTCTAACACTGTGTTTTAGCGTGATGAATCTCTTTTAATGTTGAAGGTAGTGAGGTGAAGTGTCTTTAAACACTGCGGAGGCGTGAGCCGTGCAACCAGACGCAGCCCCAGTCCTGAGGACGGGGGAACTTTTTCCGTTCCTGCTGTGTGAGCCAGACTGCACATGGTGCACTAGATGATACTAATAAAAAGACAACTATTTCAAAGGGAAAAGGGACGTGTATTACAAAGCAATTCTGACCCAAGGTCTCCTAGGCTTCTGGCTGCTGAGTAATTATTAGAAATATTTCAGTTTTCTGGAAGTTACTAGGAAAACCTTTTCACTGAAACTTGTTCTTGCCCACCCTTGTGAAATCTCAGCAATATGACTGCCTGACTTTCGATGCTCGTTTGCTCACTCACCCTCCAGTTTCTCATGGTTTCACGCATACCGATTCAGAAAACCTAGCAGACTTTTTCTAAAGCTTGAGCTAGGTCGTCTTACTGCCTGTGAAGTTCTTCGGAAGGGAAGGTTTACCTTAGCTGAAAGAAGGCCGCTCAGACTGGTACAGATGAAGCTTTCGCCAATAGAAAAAAGGAACTCCTAACCCTCCCTCCCTTCATTCCTAATTCTCTTTAAGTGTTTGTACGCTTCCTTTCCTTGCATCTTGACGTACAGTGGGGTTTCCAGTCACACGACTATGCGGGAAGGAGTGGTTGTATTTATTCTCTGACAGCATAATTTAATGCAGCCTGTACTGCTGTACTTTCTCCAGCTACCCTGATCTCTTTGAAATGCCCTATGTAACGGAAGGTGCCAGGTTCTCAGGAGGACCTCTAGCTATTGCAGTAGTCCTGTAGTAGTGCTTGTAGCCTGTCCTCCCTCCCTCAGGCTCTGTGTGCATGCTGACAAACCTGCAAGTCCAGAAGTAAGTGTACCTTACTAGGGATGAGATGCTCTTTCTGTATTTTCCTTTCTTTTTTTTCCCCTCCTTGCAATATAATTCTGTTACTGTATCTAGCAACAAAATGGCCTGTCAAAATGTCTTCCGGTGACACTTACTTTAAAATTTTTTGTGACGTTTGGCATGTAGTATTAACTGTGAGAACCTGAAGAGCATATCTGAAAGGTCATTGAGATATCTAAGAATAACCTTTCAGAATCTAATGATCTTTCAGATGATTGTGAGGGGCTCAGAATCTTGTAGGAAGGTAATCTGGGTGCTAACGACCTTTACAAACTGTGCAGCTCTGCTAGGGTTGCTTTAATCCCCCACTTAACCAATATGTTTCTGCTCATTCCAAAGTACGTATGTCAGCTGAATGGTGGTAAAATGTGGGGGAGAGCTTCAGTGGCTTTTGAGACTTTTCTTCATCCTTTTAGTGAACTTGGTGCTTCACAGAAGGCAAGTGCTTTATTGATGGACTGTTCTGGCATTCTTAACTCCAGAATGAATGTGCCCTTTTGCCTTTTCGAAACTGTTCATATGCAGTAGATTCACCACTTTTCAAGCTAAGTTTTTTGGAAGCTCTTGGGACAAGAGATTTTTGAGATAAGAGGTGGCAAAAAGATTAAATATTTTTAGATTTAAAAGGAGTGAGGAAGTTTTTGTCTATATGTGTCTGGGTGTGTGCATACATGCAGTCTTATGTATAAAATAAGGGCTTTCAGATTATTTGGAATAGGGGAAATACGTCTTTGGTGGCTCTAATACGCACCTGAAAAATTTGAAGGCTCTTTTAAGGGATTCAGAGAACAACTTAAATCAGTTTCATAAACCAAAGCTAATTTCCAGACTTGCCTATAATGTATGCTCTATTTGGTATCATTTCAGTATGTTTAAAAGTTAAACGAGTTGTAATTTTTCAGTTCATCTAGGGGGTGGAGGAGAAAGCACAAACTTTTTCATTTAAGGGTAGGGTGGGTTTTGTGGATTTTTTTCTATTATGCAAATTTTGCAAGTCTAAATGTATGCTCTATTTTTTTCTCAGATAAGCAGCCTGTATAAAAATAAATCCCATAGCATCTGACTATAAATGTTTGCTTCTAAACTGATACAGCATAATATTTTCAAGGATGCCAGCAGTGTAGACTTATTACTGGGACTGCTTGGCCTCAGGTTTCAACGTTTTTCCAGTGAGTGTGTAGCTGCTAATAAATTAACCTACCACATTTAGTCACCCAAAAGTGAATGAAATATAGTTGTTTTCCTCTGTGACTGTGATTCATATTCCATTTATTTTATACCATGTTTACTGGTGTTTCTTAAGTCTTTCAGTTTTCTAAAAGCTGTGGCATGTCATCCACACGAGGCTTAGAATAGTCTTTGATTTTCGTCCTTTGCTGTTCCCCTCAAAAAAAGGAAGGAGGAACGTCTGTTTGAACTGAGGGATAGAGTTTGTGGCATCTAGAATTTTCCAAAACAGTAAAATTTGCTGTATGTTGCCAAACGAATAGACAGAGCTCTGCACGGAGCTGTACAAATCTCGTCATATTGTGTTGTCACTGGGTTAGAAATGTCAATTGGGGGGGAGAGGGGGAGTCAAGTTGAATAAGTTTTGTCAGTCGTCTAGATTTAATTGTGTTACCTGTGAGTCCAGTGCTGGATTTCATTCTGTTGTCATTTAAAAGATGATGCCAAGAATCTTGCAAGTAGCTTGTGGTCTGGTCAAAGCTCTGCTCAAAGCTTAGGCTAAAGAGGTGAAGTTACAAGGGAGACCTAGATTTAATCTGCTAAAGGCTACTGCAGAGAGTACTGAGAGCCTATCAATTCGGGGACAGTTTATTTTTCTGCTTATTGGGGGAGGAAACAAGAAGTAGTGAGCCTACGCTGCAGAATACATGTGAGGATAAACTTCCTGCTTGAGGGAGTTAGCTGAGCACTGGAATATATAGTCTGGGCGACTGAATTCCCATCATGGAAGTTTTTTAGGAATATGTTGCCAAACCTCTGTCAAAAGTGGCATAAAATGTAGTTGATTCTGTCTGGAGCAGGGATGGTCTGGATGACCTCTTAAAATCCCTTGCAGTCTTGTAATTGTAGGGGAGTCATAGCTTGGATGCTCAGATCTCCCAGTAACGGGTTCCTGAAGGAACAAGTTGTGAGTGATGGTGGAGATCGGTCCTCTTATGGTTTCTAAATTGGTACTTGAACACCTGTTACCCCCAGCCTATTACTCCCAAATGAATGAGTGCAGATTGTAGAAGAGAAAATGCCACTTTTTTTTTTTTTTTTTTTTGGCCTGTGCCATTTAAGGGAAGGACTTCTTTGTTTATTAGCTGTGATGTCTGGGACCAGGCGGAGTTGCAGTAATCCAACTTGGAGGTGAAAATGTGGTGGCTGTGCTTTTTCTAAAAGCACAAATACTTTTTAAAAAATTGGAAGATGGAATACTTCATTAAAAACACATCAAGCTTGTAGATATTATATTGCAAGAGTTTGTTAATGTATTTATCCTGGTACCGTGGACCATAAGAATGTTCCTTGCAACTCTGAAGAGCATTACTGTTCGTGGCGCTTTTAAGAGTCAAGCATACTAGCTACTTTAATCGGGATAATAATTTAGAGTGTCAAAAGGCTAGTGTACCTTCTCAGCATTTCCATTTGGTATTATTTTACTCTTTTAATAGTACTTTATAGTCCCCAACCTTACCTCAATTAGCAGTACTGACAGATGCTAGTTCAGCATTTTACCTCTAGCCAGCAGAGCTTTCTTTAGAATAAATGTCAGTAATTTTATGTAGCTAATTTGAGGTGATATACCTACATGTAAAATTACATTTTAACTTTCTTGTTATACTTGCAATGAGAGATGGCAGCATAAAGAAATATAAGAGAATGCGCCTGAGAGATAGTTCAGGACTAGAAGGTTCATTATGGAACTTTTATGGTTCATTTTGAGGTGTGCTGCAGTTCTTGTTAACTCTTTCTTCCAGTACCCATCTTTTTTATCTGACCCGTGTCTTCCTTTTTCCCTCATGGGGATTTTTTTTTTTTTTTAACTGTTTTATCTCTTTAGAGGCTTGGGAGAAGGGGGATTTGGGAGAGGGTTTTATGAAGATCTTTAAATGCCGTTAATGCCACCTCTTTTTACCAAATATTGATTGTTTAGTGTAAACAAGACATTTGTTAGTACGCTAGAAACTTATGTCTGAAAAAAATTCAGTACAAATGTTGGTTATGTAGGTAAAATCAGGAAATGCAGTGTTTCTTGAAGTCAGGCAGTCCTTGAGAAATGCTTTAAGGAAACTTGCCTCAATTAAGAGGGAGAAAGCAGAAGGAAGGTATTTCTGAGATGTATGCTGCTGATCAAGCACAGTAGTCCAGACAGTAATAATGCCTGGTATCAGCCGACTCCATCAAGAAAAGTCTGCGCTTTGTGCATTGTTCTCTAGCCATTTGCCTACCATACAGAAGAGCAGGGGAAATCCCATGAGAAAGCAGAGTTGCAGCTTAAGATGGAAAGAAATGGCAGTATTAGGTATTCTTTAAGTTAGCTGTGATTAACTTTTATAGATTGTTTTTGCATTTTTACCTGCATGGGTTATGCATTTCAGTCCTGTCTTGAAAGAGAGTTTTTCTAGCGGGTTAGCTTGTGCTGTAATTCTCTCAGTTACTGGATTATAGTTGTATCTATTTGATGAACAAAAATACCCGCTTTCCCCCACCTGTTCCCCCTCCTCCCCCCACAGATACCTGCACACGGGTTGGAAAGTAGGCTAGTAACTGCCACCTGCGAGGAAATAGATGCTTCCTACTGCAACACAAAAGCCAAAGAAGGCTTTTGCAGGTAAAGCATTTACTATCTCTCTTTCAGTGTACTGTTAGACCTAAATAAAGATTTCCAAGGGGTAGAACTCAGATCTTTATTATCAGTAATATAAAGCTTGCTGCGGAGAAGAGTTTGTTTCTTGTTTTTGAAACAAGCATTTAAAATTGTTCCCAAATGTGATTGTAATAAAGAGTTAACAGACACTTTGTGTGGGTATGTGTTGTTATTAAAGTAATTTTACTGTTTAAACCTTTTTTTAAGAAGGTTTAATGCATTGTCTAATCTAATCCTCAGTCATTCTGTGCATGAGAAATTTTCTATAAATTTACATAATTGACTATAATTATAATTGAGTTATAGCTGCAAAAATAAACTGTGGCCCAATCTTGAATTCAGCAAGGCTGTCATGTTCATAAAGGTTCGATTAAAAATAGCAATGGTATTTTTCACAGAAATGGAGAAACATGATTAAAACTTCTTTAATGCTGTAATAAATTTGCAGTAATTTTTCACTCATCTCTGCTGATCTGAAGGTCTTCCCCCCCCCAGTTCTTCCAAGGATCTTATTTTTAACAGTATGGAGAGGGAACAGAAGTTAATATAAAAAGTAGAACATGTTCAGCTTGTATTAGTTGTTGTCGTTATGCTAAAGCTGAAATGTACCACCACTCACTTTTAGGTGGAATGACTGGCACTACCAGCAGTCATCTAGAACAGAATTAAATAAAATATGTTGTTTTCAGGAAAAGATCAATGTTTCTTTCAAAACTGTTCTAGAGACGTTTTTTCAAGGTAGCTGCACAGAGGTTTTTGCTTCTTCTCCGCCTTGAACTTTTGGCCTTGCCCCCAAGTGTATGGGTGGTATCTGTTTTAAAATTGATATATTAATGTTGAATTTTTATTGTCACAGTTTCTGTTCGTGCGCCTTTCAAATCCTTCATTTGTTTGTTTCTGAACTTTGGATGTATCGTAAAAATGTCACCATTGTGGCTGAACATTAAGCACCTTCCCATTTTGCTGTGGGCCGTTGAAATAAATTTGGACCAGGTGCTCCTCTCATAATAGAGCTCCTTGATGTGCTCTGATAGTGAGCCGGCGAGCGGAAGCTGTCAGCCTTCAGCTGGCTTGAAGAATGCAATTAGAGCAGTTTTAATACTGCTGAGGGACCCCATCCAATCAAAGCTGTCTGAGTTAAGCCAAGTCTAGAATCCAAACCGTGTATTTTAAGCGTCTCAGCTTTGTCTTTAGCCGGAATGGATCTGTCATTCCCACACACTGTGGTGCAGTTTTTTCTGCTAGGAGAACTACTCCCATTCCTTACCAACTAGCAGTGTTATTTTATCTGTTACCGTTGTCTTTATGGCATTGTTAATACTCAAGGTTCAAAGCATTTATTGTCAAATTAGGGCTTAAAATGCATTACTTTAATGTCAAAAGTGCCTGTGCCTTTAAATAAACCCTAGATTAGGTAAATTCATAAGCAGTTCATCGCTAGGTTTTCTGGATTGTCTGGTGAAAGAAAAAGGAACGTCATCAATGCAGATCAGAAAGCAAGTATTATGTAGAACATAGCTAGAAAGGAGGCAATACTACAAGAAGGTACTATTTTTGCTGAAGACTTAGCTGAGACTTAATTTCAAAAACTGATGTTAAGTGATTCATTGATACCAAGAGAAAAGGATTAGAACAATTCTGTGTTCGTCCTTCTTTCTTCTTCCTTTTTTAATTAGTGTTCTTAAGTTTGCTTGTTTGACCCACCTTTGCTTCCTCCATTTCTTAGTGTTAGGGTTGACTTCATTGGAATTAATGCTTCCCTGAGGGATTACACCTCTACTGGATGTTTCATTTGTTTCCCTGATTTTCCTTTGTTAATGAAGTTGTGGTTCAGTTATCTATTTTGAGCGACACTAACTTGCGAAGTAGATTACAAAAAATCTCTTTTGATTATTTACTTTGATTAACTCTTTATGCTAGGGATTTTTTTTGTTTATTATGGTATCTTGCATAGTGAGACTTTTAAGACCTACAGAATAAAATTAAAAAAAAAACTATCTGCTCTGCTGTCTCCCCAGGAAACTCTAGTTTTTGAGATAAAGGTAGGGAAGGAAATGCAAGTGAGCATTGTTTGTGTGGGATTTGATAGACTAAATTGTGTTTTGATACATCTTTGGTTAAATCAATGGTATTAGTGGCTTTCAAATGTAATTTTCTCATTACAGGTTATAACTGCTTAGTATGAAAACTCTCTAAATAAGTGTTAACCTGTGGCATAAAGGCATTCCCAAAACTCGGGTCTTTATGTAACTGATTGAAAAGGGAATACGCTGTGCTATGTAAGTAATTGTCACCTGTTGCAGAAATTTAGAAATTATCTTCATATATATATTCACTCGCGCGCGCACACACACACACACATATATATGGATGTGTGTACACACACATATGTATGTCATATGTGTGTATGTTGTAATCTACTGTCTGTTTTACACTGCAATAAGAAATACACAGAAGTAAGCTGTATCAGTGCAAGACTGTTATCAAGATCTGCTACATCAGTGTGTGATTCTTGTGTCATACAGGAGCGGATACATGCAATGTATTTTGATGCGTCTAGAGAGAAGGTTCTTTGAAAGTGATATGTTTTGTGTGGTTTTTTTGGCTTTTTGAATAGTTGTTTATCTACCAATATTAAATATGTTGAATATTTGCCCTCTGAAATAACAGGTTATTGTTCTCCTGTGCAGGAAAAACTGCATGGTGGCAGTTTTTGGTGGTGATGGTGGCAGGGTAAGTGGAAGAGGGTTATTTGATACAATTGTGTAGGGCTACCCATAGATACCCAAAAGATGAAGATCTGATGGATGAGTTTTGGGGTTAGTTCTTGTTTAAGAAGCTCCCAGAATCATCCAGAGGGCTGAACTTGATTTTTAATAGGATGTATAGGAAAAGAGTGTGGGGAGAAGCAAGTTCTCCAGTGAGCTCTTGTAATGGACTGGTAACTCTTGATAGAGAAGCTGGGGAAAGCACTGAGAGAGGAGGCTCAGATTCTGAATTCCTAACCACAGGAAGCATGTTTGCAAAGGTAGAGGACAGCCTGGTGACAAGATGAGTTTGTGATGTTCCTTGTGCTTCCATTTCTAGTAGGAATTTTTTATTTAAGACAACATCAGTAAAATTGAAGAGGGGGCTGTCGGTCGTTGGTAAGATTGGCTTGACTGGCAGTAGCGAGCTAAGCCCAGAGGACAGAATTTAGTGTTCAGTAAGAGTGGAAAGCAGGCGTACACATAACGTTAAGGCAGAAGTACTTAATGGGCTTTTTTGTTTTAATGGCGTGGGGGGTTTGTTTACTCCTAAGTGCTAGAATTGGAAAGGGATGGTTTAATGAATACTTAACCAGATGTCTTTGATCTGGTTTAGTATTTGCAGAACTGGCTAAAGTGGTTTCAGAGCCATTAGTTATTCCTGGGAATTCATGGAGGTGAACTTCTGGAAGACTAGAAAGAAGTCCAACTTACTGCCTACGTTTTAAAAGGTTGAAAGAAAGAATTATGGATTAGCTATTTTAACTTCAGTTCCTCAGAAGATATTGGGACAAATCATTAATAACAGAAAGCGTAACAGCCATCTTAGGTATTTGTTCTTCACAAACGTCTGCTTGCTCTCTGCAGGAAGCACCTCTCTCTTCTCCCTTACTCATTGCCTGGTCTTGTCTGCGCTAAGACTTTTGATACAGCTTATGAGAAGTTGAGAGACATGGTGTAGGTAAAAACAAAACAAAACAAAAAAAAAAAAGCCAAACTGGAAGGAAAACTACTCAACATAGATAGCAATGTGTAGGCTGGTTCTGCAGTACTCCGTTCTCAGTCTAATGTTTGTTCTGTATTTTCATTTATGGTGCAACAGGTGGTTTAGTAAACAAATACAGGGAACAAATTGAAAAACTCATCTCTGGTATTAGTTCCTACTATTGCCTTTGCTCCTGCTGGTGATTAATTGTTGACACTGTCCAGTGGTGTCTTTTTTTTCCCCCCTCCAGTACAGACTCTACTCTTTGTTTTTAGACAATTCTAAACCCTGAGTGCTGCAAGCTTGTTGGAAGGCTGAATTTACAATTCAAAAGGATCTTGACATATTGGTCTCGAAAAGCTTGGGTGCCATTCAGTAACTGAAAGTGAAAAAGACCTACATGAATCAACGGCAAGATCCTGGAAAGGGAACTATGTATTAAGATATATTTTTCAGAAAACGACTGGGGAGATCACTCCTAGACTGCACATGAGTCAATTGTGTCTTGCCATTTTGAAAGAAGCAAAACTATAAGAGAATAGAAATAAGAATGTAGTCTGTAAAGCATTATTAATCCTCCTGCTGTTAGTGGTGCTTAGAAGGCCAAAGCTGGACTTGTAAGTCCAGTTTTGGGTACTATAGTTAATGAAAGCAGTGGGCCAACTGAAGTTAGTTCTAGCTCCCAGGAGAGCTCTGAGTGTGTCAGACTTGGCACTTTGTAAGAAGAAAGCTTGGAGGCTCTGGTTGCTAAGGCTATCAGGAAGAAATTTGTGTCATTCTGCCCCTCCCTCCCTCCCACCCTCAAATGCATATAGGACAAAAAATGACCAACTAAATTTGCAGTGAGAAAGATTCAGGCATGATGAGAATAATTTGAAACTGGTATCTCTGTTTCTGGAGGTTAGTCAAACACATATTAGGAACGATAAAGCTGATCCTTTTCGCAGATGAATGGAATAGTTAACCATCTGAGGTCCCCTTCCACCCTATCTTCTATTATGATGTGATTTTGCCTGTAATAAAAAAACATGCCACCTAAGCATCAGGGAGTCTATCTAGGTGAGTAATTTGAGGTTTGCTGTGCTGCTTTTGTTGGGTTTTTTTGGGGGTGTGTCTGCTACCTCCTTACCCTGGGAAATCAGGCTTACACAGCTGTGCTTTCTCTGTGTATATTTAACTTTGTTTTTCTGTCTCAGAGTTTTGCCATCTTTTGGCCAGTAGTAATGAAGTTT